CACGTTTCCAAAACGTTTGCGTTTCCTCTTTTTTTTTAAAAAATCGTTTCCGTGTTTCCTAACGTTTCTTTTTCGCGTTTCCGTTTCCATGCAACTTAGGTTATTTTTATAACTACCAATTATTTAAATTTTTTTTTTTCAATTTTTTTTTGTATTATGTGGTTTTACATCTCAATAATGGCACAAAAACATTAACATAAACCACTATTGTACAAGTGATAGTCACATTCTTGTTAATTTACGTAGATATTTTTTACAAATATATCATTTTGGACTATTTTGATTACTTTTTTTTTTGTTTGTCAAAAGACTGTTTTTGATTATAATCTGCTTTATTTCTAGAATGTTGGTGGGGGAAAAATATTACATCTTTATCATGGTCATTATGATGAAGATGGATGATGCAGATTGCACAGGGTTAACATTAACCATACAGAGCTTTCAACTTTGAATCGGTGAAAAGTTGTTTATTTAAATATCTTTATATTTTTTTGTTTTCTTTTATCTTTGGTATGTAAATCAGACTCGTCTATATTTTTTTTATGTCATCAGGATTTTATTACAAACACTGAAATAATATAGGGGTGGGATACATTTTTGGAATACGGTTTTGGAAAACTAAGCCGACGGACTACAAAATCCGCGGAGTCTAAACTCTGCGTAAGGGAGACATGGATAAAACCAAAATACAAACAAAGTAAAACATCGACTCGTCTATGTTCAGAACTGATTTTGTGGAGTGGCGAATTAAATAATAGGCCGACCATGAATTAAAATCACAACTCTCTAACTAATACCTATATGTGAGTATATTTAAGTTTAATAAATAAATGTTTATAATGTGTTGTTTCTAATCGTTTTTTCTTGGTAAAATATAATCACATATAGGTAAAAATGGTTAGAGAGTTGTGTTTTTCGCCTAAGAAATTCGATGAATAAGAATCATAGTTAAACTTTGATAATTTAGAGTAGATAATTCATGAACGCTCTTTTTTGGAATGCTTTCTATTTCTTGAGTAGACAAATCCTTTTTTAAATTTGTACTAGGTGAATATCCGCGCGTATGCGTAAGTTTGTGAATATGTAATATTTCTAGTTAATCTTTTGTTTCCTATATTTTCATACTACTAAGGTTAAATATTTTCTAGTGTGACTAAATAATTTAGTGTTTTGTGTGAAGATAATACAAAAGATTAAGGATGAAAACCCTATTTAAACTTTGCTTTAATTGAAAACGCTCAAAACCCTAGCCGTAAGAGATAAAGGGAAAGAAAAAAAAAAGTGATTTGAGTTTACTCCCTTTCCGATGTCTGGTGCATTTGCCGGTTTCATGAAAAGGAGAATGTTGTAAACTAGTAGTTTCTACGCTCGACATGAAGTCTAGATGATGTCCTGG